ATTTTGGATCACTTGCTGCTCCCTTATCCCTGAGTTGGTCAACACCACCTCCTTACCCCCGCCTCCCCCTCTCCCATGTCCCCCCAGAACCATAGGTCCCGTTGTTTTCTCCTCCAGGCTGTTCATTCAGCCTATCTTATCTAGCTAGACCTGCAGAGATAATAATGTGCACAAAAAACAAGACATAGCAAGACAAAGCGACAGAAGAGAACACAACGATGACAACAACAATGAAAACCAGTGACCCATAAAAGAATAAATGAATTAAAAAAAAAGAAAAAGAAAATAAATTTAAAAAGAAATAAAACCCTGTATATAGATCAAGGTCTGATTTTTGACCTCTAGGCGTGTCCTCCAGTCAAGTCCGATGGGGTGCCACGCTCTGGCCCCCCGAATCGATCCTTTGCACTCCCTTGGGAGCTCCCTACTCTGCTCCCCGTGTTGCTCTGCTGCAGGGCTTTAATGTTTGGCCTTGGTGTCTTGGGGTCAGTCTGGGCCTGTCCCCACACTGAGTCTTCAGTGTTGTCCCCCATAGGGCCATGGGCCAGAGAGGGATGTCATCTCATAGTGGGATCAGCCATATGGTCCACTCTGTGCATTAGCTCTTCTGAACGGGGATATCGTCCTCCAGGCCTGACGGGCCAGGATGTGCTCCACTCTCTCTTCCTCCCCCTTCATTAGCTCCCCTGTGCTCTGATCAGACATGCCCCTCTCCCCTAGCTGCAGCTTCAGTGCTATCCCTCTAAAGTAAATTCTTCTGGAGGGAGGGACATTTTGACAAATATTTTTAAGTTTTTTTTTCTTTTGAAAGAAAATAAATCTATGCAGTAAGAGTTTCCCTCAAACCTAAGTGCTATGCCATCGCAACCGTTCTAGCCCCCATGAAGCACGCTTGTCCCAGCAGCACCCCGCATGGTGAGGGTGTGGCAGCCACACTGTAGCACTGGCACCCAGGGACCACAATGCCCAGGCAGGAGGGTGGGTGAGAACATCAAGAAACTCTCTCCCTGAAGCCAAAGCAACACATCTGCTTGTGGCAGTTAAATAAATGCCAGGCGAGCCAGGCTCGGTGTGCTGACTGAAGCAAGTGCCATACACACAGTGCTCTCCAAGAACCAGAGAGCAGCCAGACCCTGAGAGATGAGCCCCCAGGCCCTCACCACCCACTCTCAAGCTCCTGGCGAGGGAAGCCTGCTCAGAATGCAAAGCTAAGTTCTTGTTGGCAGGGCTGGCTCCATTCGTAGCAGCTTTTTAACTCGGCAGCTCCATCTGTCCAATGGGAAGTTCACAGTGCCCTGCTCTGAGGTGACCTTGTGTGTCCAGAGGGTGTCTACTGACCTTGTGGCCATTGGCTTCTTTATATGCTGCGCCTTATAAAGGGGTTTTGATGGTAACTAGCAACAACAGATGGGGTAGTGTGTTAATCCTGGTAGACTAGAGAAACAAATTCATCGACACTCATATAGGTGCAAGAGGGAATTTTATATCAAGAAGTAATTACACATCAATAAAACATCCCAGACCAGATCAGGTCCATAAGTTCGATATTAGCCTATATATATCCAATATTAGCCCATGAATTCCTCTTCAGACTCACACAGCAATTGCAATGATGCCAAATGCAGGAAGATCACCGACCAGTGAGTGGAAAGTCCTGTGGATCCAACGGCAGTGGTTGTACCTCCAGGGCTCTGGCTGCCATCAGTGTGGCTCCATGTGGCTTGTCAACAGGAATGTGTAGCAGAGAGTGTGTCCTGCTTCCAGGCGGAAGAGAGGAAGTCCCAGAATCCTCATGAGCAGGCCATGCCCACAAGGAGGGATCACCAGGCTGTGACCTGATTGACAGGCTAGACTCCACCCCTTCATTCTTTGATCAAGTTGACATGAAATTATGTAACCACCACAGGTGAAAAGGAAATGGAAAATGCAGGTAGATTAATGGCAAGAGCTTGGCCCATTCATTGTGGCTGACAGACATTTATTTAGTAGCAAACTAAAATTCCGCAGTTGTGCTTTACACACTTCTTAATCTACTGACCAGTTTCTGTGTGTGTGGTGCAATCAGCGAATGCGCTCAGCTGTTTACCCAAAGCTCGGATGTTTGGGTCTGCCCAGAGGAGCCTCAGCATAAAGGCGTAGCAATCTACCCCTGAAAAGTCCGTTATTGGAAATCCTATGGAGCACAGCTCTCTCTCTCTACACACACACACACACACACACACACACACACACACGTCACCAGCAGTTGGCGTCGACTGTGTAAGTGGGAAGTGTACTGGACGCGGACTCTGAAGTCAGATGTGTCTGTAAGCTGAGTTCCAAGGTTCCTACCTGTGAGACCATTGGCACCTTTTAACCACTGTGAGCATGATTTTCCGGTTGGTATAGTGAGTTACTCATCAGGCTGCTATTTGGGGGGTTGTTAGCTTGGTTTTTTAATGAGATGAGCATGTTAATCAAGTTCGTGAAGGATTAAATGTGAGGGATAGATGTGAACGCACCCAGATAGATGCCTTCCCACGAACATTGCTTTCTTTTTCAGCTCCCTTCCGCTCTCCTTTCCCCGCCTTCTCTCTCTCACATCGCTTCTTTTTCTTCCTTCTTTCCCTTTTTCTCTTGTTTGCCCATCCTCCTCCCTTTCTTCCTCTCTTTCCCCCATTCCCTTTCTCTCTCTCTTCGAAAATAAGGAAGTTCCCAAGACGCCCTCCGCGTGCTGTTTTATTGGCGAGGGAGACGGCAATCTCTGGGAATGAGAACTTTCGACATTCTGAAAAGCTTCAGTCTTTTCACGCACACGAGGGACTCTCTCAAGATGAGGACGGGCTCAAAAGTCACCCGATGAGTCTTACATTCTATTCAGTTCCCTGAGCTGCGTTTTCATTATCTGTGCCTAGGATTAATAAGTTATAGTACTGGATTCCCTCACCTCCCCTGGAATTC